TACATTGAAGGGGAAGGTAATGATAGCAGTAGCGAGCAATTGGAAGACTCCCTTTGGTACCCAGGCATTACCCCCTTTTCTCCTACCAGGGCCACAACCCCCCAATCCTTTGACTATGCCATATCGCCCCTTGTCATCCGGCTTCTTCCTGCCCCTATTCGACTGTAGGAACCAATGCCTGCCATGTCAGCTGACAGAACCTTCAGTGTCTCTGTTGCCGTGATATCGGACCTCTCTGCTGGTTTATCGAATGTTCGCTTAGCAACCGCGCTGACTTCGATTACCTACGCCATTCCCGTCATCGTGAGGTGCCTATAGATGGCCTCCCAAATAAGCCACATGGCCGACACGTCTTGACTGGTTCTTTTCCCTTGCAACTATGGCGAGGAGATTAAGCACCCAGGGCACGGTATGCCTGACACGGCTGCCCAGACCGCAGCAGCAGCGTTTCCTGCATCGTGTGTTGTCCAGCCAGCCTGAGCCCCCTCGGTGGGAGTGACATGAGCAGCTTTCCATGCCTTCTTTCCCGAATACAACGTATGGGCATTATAGCTGTATTTGGGGTATCTTTCAGTCTAAATACAGCTATAATCATTATGATGGTACGTTGTATTTGGGCGAAGAAGGTAGTAACACTGATGAGTGGCTGTTTCCTCAATGACATGCTTTTTTGGCAGTTTTGCATCTACAACATGTTTTTTTTTTTTTTTTTTTTTTTTTAAAGGACGACGGTCTCCAGATATTATGACAGACCCCAAGCAATTTATTGGTAGTTGGTCTCAGTTGTCAAGTTCCATCAGCTGGATTCAAACACAGGTCTGTATTTCAACAGTTCATGGGTGTACCCACTGAGCTAGGCTCTTGGGTCTACACCATGTTTTCTCCATTGGCATTCTGGTTTTCTGGAGAGTCACTTGACCATAGGAACTTCCCAGTGGAACTGTGGCCATGTGATACTCGCAGATTCAGCTGAGGGCGTTTTCAATACCAGTGACGCAGTTTGGTCGCGCATCAGTGTAACTCGTCGATGCATGTGTCTGTTCCTTTATTGCTGTTTTATCTTTTTGTCGAAGAGAAGGCCAAAAAGAAAAGAAAAAAAGCAAAGACATGGCCCCATTTCTGTTGGTCTGAGGGTCATTCCCATTTATCCGCAAGAAACAATGCAAGGTGTCCTGCCACGTCACCACCTTTAAGGGAATCATGAGCGCCATCCACAGATGAGAAGACGAGAGGGGGAAGCGGCCCCAGCCTATATAATTTCTTCAGATCCTAGAGCTTTTCCTCTTTGTAACCTTTTCCTTATTTTATTTTAACAGCTAATTCTTTTTAGCCCAACCAATTCAATTACTTCTCAAATCTGGACAGGACACCAAATGAAATTCTCTGAGGCTGGGATCAAGCTCCTCAGCTTTTTTTTCCATTTTTTTTACAATGCCAGGAAACGGGCCTGGCATTCGTCGGTCCGGCCCAGCAGCCAGCTATAGCAACAGTCAATCATCTGTTCAATCATCTTGGGTCACTCACAGCTTTGGGCCTCGCTGCACTAGTCTAGACTCTCGAATTTTCGAGAGTGGGTCATCGCTGCACTTACTCTCGATCGGGAAACTCTCGAAACCCGATCGAGAGCTGTCAGCGGGCACTCTATATCACAACTCTCAAAACGTCGAGAGTCCCCCGCCTGTAAAAACTGAATTTGCAAGTGTCCTAGGGAGTTGCCCGCCGACAGGCTCGTTTTTTGAGAGTGGACCTCCTGTCCCGGCGGCCAGACTTTGTCCCGTAGCGCAGTGGTGAAGCTCTTCTGTAGAGTAGGATGACGCCCAGGGTTTCGAGAGTTCACCTAGTGTGATAGCTTATAGAGTAAGTGCAGCAAAGGCGGGTATTTTGAGAGTCTCGCCTCTCTGACAATGCTAGCCGAACTCTCGAAATATTTCGAGAGTCTAGAGTAGTGCAGCGAGGCCCCTTTACCTGGTAAAGGCCATTCCTTGCAGGTGGGCCCTGCAGTTCACCGTTGTTACAGTCCTTAGAACCAGAACCATCCATGGGGTCCGCGTATACTGGCACTCTCTTTAGGCAAGCAAGTAGGCAAGCAGCTCAAATGTCTGGAGTTTGAAATGTCAATACCACCCTGCGGAGACAGATCCTGCAAGATACAGGCAATATTCAGCACGTGCGTTCAAACAAACAATCATTCAAATGTCCAGGGACGCTGGACCCGCTTTCCAGCAGGTGTTGCTACCCACCAAAAGATGGAGCCTCCCCGGGAGCGCTAGTGGTGTCTGCTCTTACCAGGACCCCCAGCGCCCGCCCGGCTAGTTCTTTCAGAAAAAAAATAATAATAGTAATAATAAATTGTGGTCCCGTTTAAGGGTGAGACATCATAGGTCAAGCCCAAAAACAGGGCCAGTTCACACCTCAAAACCCCATGTCGAAGGAAAAATCACAAGAAAGAAAAAACCGAAAAGCAAAGAGGAAAAAGACAGACCAGCTTCCAATACTCCTTTTTTTTTTTTTTTTTTTTTTTTTTTTTTTTTTTTTTTAAAGAAAAACGCCCTGAGTTGATGCTAGGGTAGCTGATAAGAGCAGACTACCCTAGCATTCCCTGGGGGCCTCCGTCTATTTGTGGGGAGCAGCACCTGCTGGAAACCGGGTCCAGCGTCTGTCTCTTATACACATCTAGATGTGTATAAGAGACAGGAGCAGACTACCCTAGCATTCCCTGGGGGCCTCCGTCTATTTGTGGGGAGCAGCACCTGCTGGAAACCGGGTCCAGCGTCCCTCCAGCTTCCAATACTCCTACTATATACGTAGGTTCAAAAGAGGACAAACCCTAACCGTTGTTAGTTTCTCCAGCCATCCCAAACTGTTACCAAACCGTGCCAGTACCGTACCAGTTACCGAGCCATAAGAATTAGGAGCAGGCTGCAGTACGCTGCCCCGGTGTCATCCCTGTACCGAACCAACAAGTCACTATTACC